GTTAGTGATTTAGAATCTGCAATAGAAGCTTGGGAAATCCTTGAGAAGTCTTTTGGAGGCGCTGAGAAAGTGAAAGAAGCGAGGTTACAAACTCACAAAAGGACCTATGAACCGCTTCAGATGGAAGACAGTGAAAGCATATCTGATTTCTTCACTAGAGTTACAAAACAAGTAAATCAAATCAAGATATATAGAGAAACGTTAACAACAAGAGCTGCTATTTCGAAGATCTTGAGATCTTTAGCTCCTAAGTTCGACCACATAGTGGTGGCGATAGAAGAGGGGAAAGACTTGTCGAAATTGAAAAAGGAAGAGCTTCAAGGGACGCTTGAATCTCATGAACAAAGAATGAATGAAAGAGCTGCAGGAAAATCAAAGAGTGATGTGGCCTTGCAGGCACATTCAGCAAAAGAAACCAAAGGCAAAGGAAAGTGTTTCGATAGAGGTAGAGGTGGCTACAATAAATCGAATGGTAGAGAAAACCAGATCGAAGAAAACATGTCGAATCAAAGAAGACCATACCAAGGCAACCAAAGAGGTGGTGTTGCAAATAGAGGAAGAGGTGGCAGTTGAAAACCTGATAAGAGTCACATTCAATGTTATAATTGTCAGAAGTATGGACACTATTAGAGTGATTGTCCAGAAAAACGAAAGAATCAAGAAAGTGATGCAAAGCTTGCAAAACATGAAGAAGAAGAGATGATGCTAATGGTCACAACAAGAGATGAAGATAAATTCAAGGACCAATGATACTTGGATTCAGGATGTTCATCACATATGTCTGGAAGGAAAGACTGGTTTGTCAATATAAAGCCCTCAATGAAAAATATGGTAAAATTTGCAAATGACAATATCCTAGTAGCTGAAGGTATTGGTGATGTTATGATTATGAGAAAATATGGCAAAAGGTCAGTAATCTCTAATGTGTTGTACATACCAGGCATGAAGAGCAATTTGCTCAGTATAGGGCAGTTGATCGAAAAGAATTATAAAGTGTCAATCGAAGATAAGATGATGAGAGTCGTTGATGCAAATGAGAGATTAATCTTGAAGGCTCCTATGTCTCAGAATCGAACCTTCAAGATTGAACTAAATGTGATAGAGCACAAGTGCCTTTCGACTGCAGCTAGCAGAGATGAATGGATATGGCATTATAGACTAGGCCATCTCAACTTCAGAGACATCAGAGATTTGAAGAGAAGAAATATGGTTTCAGGATTGCTAGAAATCTACATTCCAAACGAGGTATGTGAGGAATGTGTGCAGGAGAAGCAACACAAGAATAGCTTCAGCAAGGATGCAGGAAGCATGTCGAAGGCTAGTCTTGAAGTCATATACTCTGATGTATGTAGACCAATCCAGGTGGATTCGATGGAAGGTAACAAATACTTTGTTACATTCATAGATGATTTCAGTCAAAAACTGTGGACTTATCTGATCAAGAAGAAAAGTGAAGTGATCGAAGTATTTGCCAAGTTTAAGTCTATGGTCGAAAGACAGGGTGGTCGAAAGCTCAAAGTTTTGAGAACTGATGGTGGTGGAGAATATGTGTCGAAAGACTTCGACAGGCTATGTGAGAAGGAAGGGATTGTGCATGAGGTAGTGCCACCCTATACTCCACAACAAAATGGAATTGTAGAAAGGAAGAATCGAACCATCATGAATATGGTGAGAAGTATGTTGAAAGGCAAGAATTTACCTAAAGAGTTTTGGGGTGAAGCTGTTTCGACTGCAACATACATTTTGAACATATGTCCTACAAAGAAGCTAGAATGAATTACTCCAGAAGAATGTTGGTCTGGTGTGAAGCCTAGCTTGAGTCATCTTAAGGTATTTGGATCTATTGCACATAGACATGTGTCAGATCAGTTGAGAAGAAAACTTGATGACAAGTCAAGTCAAATGATTCTAGTTGGATATCATTCGACAGGAGGCTATAAGTTGTTTGATCCAGAGAACAAGAAGATTGTGATCAGCAGGGACGTGATCATAGATGAGTTTAAAGAATGGGATTGGACTGAAAATAATAAAGATTCAGTGGGAATCCTATTCGATGAGCCAGAAACTCAAGTCGAAAGAGAAGTTCGACAAGAGGAACCAACAGATATACCAAGTACAAGAAGACCTCAAAGAACTAGACGCATGCCTGCAAGATTGCAAGATTGTGTGATTACATCAAATGATGTGATAGATGATGAAGGTGAGCTGGTACATTATGCTTTCTATGCAGATGTCGAACCCGTTAATGCAACTGAAGTATTGAAGGATTCGAAGTGGGTGAAAGCAATGCATGAAGAAGTGAAGTCTATCAAAGACAACAACACTTGGTCACTTGTCGAATTGCCTCAAGGAAAGAAGGCAATTGATGTCAAGTGGGTATACAAAGTGAAAACGAATTCAAAAGGGGAAGTAACTCGACACAAAGCAAGGCTTATGGCGAAAGGATTTCTATAGAAAAAAGGAATAGACTTTGATGAAGTTTTTGCACCTGTTGCTAGGATCGAAACAATCAGGTTGGTTGTTGGTCTAGCAGAAATAAACAGTTGACACATATGTCAGATGGACGTGAAGTGTGCATTCCTAAATGGACCCTTAGATGAAGAAGTCTATGTTAAACAACCAGTTGGGTTTGTGAAACATGACGAAGAAAGAAATGTGTACAGGCTGCATAAAACCCTCTATGGATTGAAACAAGCTCCAAGAGCTTGGAATAAGAAAATTGATAGTTTCCTAAGGGAGAAGGAATTTGTAAAGTGCACAACTGAACATGGAGTATATGTAAGAAGAATCAATAGTGAATTGCTTATACTATGTCTCTATGTAGATGATTTGTTGATAACAGGTAGCAATAAAAGTGAGATCGAAGACTTCAAAGGTGATCTCAGCAAGGAATTCGAAATGTATGATTTGGGTGAGATTTCATATTTCCTTAGCATCGAATTCTACAAGAGCAGTAGAGGTTTGATGATGCATTAAAGAAGATATGCAGGAGAAATTCTCAAGAGATTTGAGATAGAAGAATGCAATCCAACTTTGACACCTGCAAAACCAAGACTACAACTGTCGAAAGATGCAGATAAAAATGATGTTGATCCAACCCAATACAAAAGACTTATTGGATCATTGAGATACCTTTGTCATACAAAGCCTGACTTAGTATACATTGTAGGTATGGTAAGCAGATTCATGCAAAAGCCAAAGGTATCACATCTAGCAGCAGTGAAGAGGATACTAAGGTATCTCAAAGGAACTTTCGATTATGGCATTTTGTTTCCTGCAGCTGATAAAGGAAAATAATGTAAGTTAGTGGGATACACTGATTTGAGTTGGTGTAGTGATGCTGAAGGTCGAAAGTCAACAACAGAATATGTGTTTATGCTAGGTGGTGCACCAGTTGCTTGGAATTCAAGAAAGGATCCAGTAGTGACATTATCATCATGCGAAGCAGAATACATAGCTGCTTCTCTTTGTGCATGTCAAGCAACTTGGATGGTGAACTTCGTCGAAGAGATAACAGGGAAAGATCATGGAGCAATTACCATGAAGATAGACATCATGTCAGCTATTAATCTGGCGAAGAACCCAATAGCACATGGTCGAAGTAAGCACATCGAAATGAGGTTCCATTATCTTCGAGAGCAGGTAGCAGATAGGAAGATGAATTTGGAACACTGCAGTGTTAAATTATAATTCAGTGTGTCGAAACTATGTGTCGAAAAGATTTGATTTGTTTTAGATTTAAATAGATTTGATTTAAGTCTAGAATAAATTAGATTTGATTTAGTAACAAAAAGATATTTTGGGCTTTAGGCTAAGGGTGTAAGCTCAGTTATAAATAGAAGAAGTAACCCCTATTTTTGTAAGCAAGTCAAGTAAGTCATTCACAGTATTTCGTAGGTGCAAAGTGAATAAGAAAGTTTTCACAGTTTGTGAGCAGAGAGAAACTCTGCAGAAATTATTTATCTTGTCATATTTTCTTTGTTTCTCTCATAATTAAATTGTTATTATGGTAGAAATTCATCATAGACTTTGATAGATTTCCAACGGTTAGCAACAAGAAAGAAGATGTGGATATAGTGTGGGCTGTTGGAGAAATAATGATTGGCTGTGGGGTGATCTTGGGATTCCTAGCTTACTGGTGGATAATTTGCAATCCAATTTGAAGGAGTTGCATGCTTACTTCGCTGAGCAAGTCCCCAAAAGAGGAGCTAGAGATAGTGTATCATGGAAACCAAACTTGATTACAGGGTATATAGTTAAATCTAACTATGTGTTGATTGCTGGAGATAGGTTCCTAGAAGGTCAAGAAGAAGGAAAGGAATATGCTTTTGACAGTCTGTAAAAGCTTTTGGGTAGCAGACTAAAACCAGTCAATCTCTAAAACCAGTCAAACATTTGATCCGTTAAAAATTAAGATAGAAGATAGAATTATGAAACCAATCAATAAGAGTATATCTTTTTGTTTTTACCTAGAAACTATTTTCAGAAAAAAAAAAAACTTTTCTCTTTTACTTTCACATTCATTATTCATTGGAACACTGTTAAAATGCCACCGTTACAAACCCTTCAAATAGACAAGAGAACATCATGCCAAATATGTCAAATCATATATGAATCTATGCTAACCAATTATGCAGAGGAATATTCCTTCATATATATCGCATTGGCATTAATTCCCTTATCAACACAGGCTTTAGATATGTGAATGCTATAAAATTCTACTTTATTTTATTCACCCATATGCATCTAACAAGCATGTATAGTAACACTAATTAAAGTGAAGCACAACCATGATAAAGTGTGACAATTGACACAGACTATAACCATTATAGAATCACATTCCTCTCGCAATACTATCTTTATTTGCATTCACATTCATAAATTAAATATTCTCTTCTCCACTCAAACTCTATTAAAGGAGCACCAATTCCTCAAACACATACCAAACCTATCAAAAATACATTCTTAACATCTTTTCCATTTTCTCAAGCATTCAATCAATGGCAGGTATTGCATCTGGAATCTGCAGCCTCGCTGTCGGCGGCGATGCACGACGCCGGCCAACACAAGCACAGCAGTGTTGCTCCAACGGCAACACTCCTGCTCCTGCTCCCGCGCCCGCGCCCGCGCTCACGCAGCAGTCATATGAAGAGTTTGCCTATTCAAATACAGGAAAACAAAACATCAAAGGTCTTACTAATCAAACTGGCTATGTTAAGGGAAATGCTAATGGAGTCATCAACTTTGGTTCCTTGATGTCCTCAGCTAATGCTCAGAGGCAAGCATGAATGCATGAATGAATGAATCCATGAGGCAATAATGTATATCTGGTGAAGGCAACTCAATATAAATTACTAACTAAATAAATATTATGTTCTGTTGCCTATCATATTATAATGTTAGTTACACGATCATAGCCATTATAAATTATAATACAATAAAATGTTGGTTAAATTTCAATTATATTAATTAAAGTTTCGTTTCATATATAAAAAACAAACTCAATTGAGGGCCTTTTAATTATTTGTTCCATGTTACTCTTTTAATAAACTAGTTCAAATGTTATCAAAGAAAAAACTAGTTCAACTATTTATAATAAACATACTTATGATCTGGTCCACTGATACGTTGCTTTTTGCGAATTATGAGTAAAAATTATCATGAATTAATTAGTAAAAGTAGCCCAAACCGGTACGAGAATACATATAGTTTACTTTGATAGATATAAACATAATATTTGATTTTACATAAAATCAATTACAAATTTTTTATTAATTAAAAAACAAAAATAATTTTTTTCCTTTCTTACTTTATCACAACTATCCCACAAACTCAATTAAAAAAAATTAAATTTTAAATAGATTTAAAGTTTTCTTTCTTTTCGTTAAATATTTATAAGAATATGAATTTAAATTTGTTTTCATGCAAGTATTTCTCTACGATATCACAGTTTTCTAATAAAGATAGCATATTGTGTGATTATGAACCAACACTAACAAATGAGCACCATATAGAATTGAAACCTTAGGCAGATCCCATAAACTAATATTAGGAGATAATCGTTTTATTTATCTAAACCACTTCCCCAATTTTAAATAGGCATTGTTCTAGATTGGGCATGTGACTGACTCATCGTCGAGCACCGACTAATCCATATATATGTCGAGGACGATCCAAAGTGTTGGCCCAATCCGTTGGAGGCCATTGGAGAACCTGTTCTCCACGTGCTCTTCACCCGAAGACATGTCACCAACTGAAACCGCACATCTCGTGGGAGTGGAAGAACTGTTCTGCCCTTCACAACGATCAAGTTTATCCATTACCCGTGGACTGTGGAACAGTTGACCTAGGACGACGAGCACGTGCTGCTCATCCCTACTTTCACATATGAGTCATGTCAATCATTTATTGTGGGCTTGGACACTCAGTCCACAACATAGATAATTGGCTCAGTGCTGGGGGCACACTATAAAAACCCTTCTCTATATGAGGGTCAGATATTCTATTCTTTACCCTTTCTCACTCACCTCTTCACCCGAACTGACTTAAGCATCAGAGTGTCTGCAGGTACACCCTCCCATTTTCGTTGATCATTCGAAGCTACAAACATGTCACCAGCCACTCATTTGTTATGGTCAGCAGTCAAGATCAGTGGCGGCGTCTATGAGAAATATGTTTTCCCATCCACTACAAAAAAATCACCATTTAGCTGCAATTTTTTAGCGTCGGCTCTAACACCGACACTCATAGTGTTGCTATTACGACAGGATAAGCCGACGCTAATTGAATAAAGCCATTTGTTTTATTTTTTATTAGGACGTTGATCATAGTGTCGGCCACAACCGATGCTAAAACTTGCTCTTTATAATTTCCTTTCTCCATCAATTTCGTTTGCCTCCTTATTATTTATTGTATTAAATAATATTTTTATTTTTAATAGTAGCGACGGTTCGGGCTGCCGCTAGTATTAGTGTCAAATTTTTGTTTACCTCCTTGTTAACTACTGTGTTTGCCTCCTATTGTACCCCAAAATTTCCCCTCTCATTTATCAAATAATCTATCACAAGATCTCCTTTAGTTCAAGACTGCACAAGGATTTATCAGCTTAAGACACCTCCTCGAGCACTAATGACTGAAAATTAGGGTTTGAGACCGCACAAGGACAAATGGACTTTTAATGCCTCATATGACTTTCATGAATCATTTTGGACTCTCAAGATTTCTCATATCAATTTTTAAGTCTTGGATCACATTTTTGCTCAGTCAATTGATCAGTTGACCTAAAATTAGCTGTATTGGGGAAAAAGTCAACTGTGGTCAATTTACAGTCAAACTTCATAATTTTTTATCCATATCGATATTATGAACTCATATATGTCATTTGATCAAGTTTGGACCATAATTCCTCAAGAAATTTGACCAGATCATCAAAAGGGCAAAATGGTCAAATTAGGGTTTTGACTGAGAAGGGGCAATTTCTGATTTTTGACCTAGCAAATGATTGATTGGTTTAAGTTGTGATCTCAAGGTTTCAAATGCATAATTTTGACCTAATGGCATGGCTCAAAACTTTCCTCAAGATCAATTGATTGATAGTTGATTTTCAGTCAACTAATCAAAAGTCAACTGTCCATTGAAAAGTCAAACTTTGACTTTTTGGTCAAAATCAAGTATCAAAGATCACAATTCATCAAGACATGTCAAAATATGAAACTTGTTCGTCAAGAAATCAAAAAGTCAAGATTTCATTTTTGAAAGGTCAAAATTTCTAAACTTAGAAATTTTTCCAAGTGTTTGAAATTTCATATTTTTTCACAACTTTGAGCCAATTTTTCACCATGATGTAAGATGATTCAAAGGAAACTTCCAACATGAAAGTTGTAGATCTCAGTGAGATCAAAAATATTGTAGAACATAACTTCTCCTAGAAATGCATGGATTTCAAGTTATGATTTTATGAATACATGTTCATGAAACTTGGAAACTTAGTGAAATTTTGCTCTACTTTAGGCAAGATTTTAACCTAAATTCATGGAAAATTTTCACATAATTCCAAGATGAAATTTCAAAAATTTCCAACATAAATGTTGTAGAGGATGTTACAAGCTTTCTGAAATGTCTAAGAACTAATTGAGATCATACTTGAGCAAGGATAATCGAAGGCAAGAAGTTAGGGTTTCCAAACTTGAATTACAAGCCATTTTGTGAAGAACACATGAACCAAATCTATGCTAGGCTGCATAATCTTTGCTTTGCAGGTCTCAAACTTGTTTGTCACTCCATAATTAATGTTTTTCACAACTGATAGGGTCATTGTCCAAGCATTTGAGCCATTATCCAAGTTGCATTTGCATTAATGGCACAAAGTAACATTGCCATTCTAGTAAAGAGGCTTTAATCAAAAAGTTAACTTGTCTTGAGCTTTACATTTGTTCTCTCTGCACAAGCATCCTTTACACAATCAGATAAGAATGTTTAAAGTGCTTAACCACTTTAGATAGCCTTGTACCATGCCTTGGAACAATGCTTGTCAAGCTTGCTTCAAAAACAAGCCTAAAAACCATAACACGTGAACTTGTACTTCTGATCAGCCAAAGCTCCAAAAACTTTTTCCTATACATTTAGACACTATTATGCAACCTAAGACATGAGCTTGAACACCCTGAAACACTCCCAAACTCTCTCAAATCAGAAATTTACCAAAAACTCCATTGTTGCACAGTTTCTGACCTTGAATCCCAAACTCATATTTCCCTCGTGCGTTCTTCGGCATTTCACTTTCAAAAGCTCCTACACATCAAATACAAACCATCCCGCACCCTGTTACACGACTGTAACATCATCTTCATCAACTTCCATAGCCAAAAACAGAGCATTGCAGTTGGACTTCTCCAGACCATTTCAACCACTCTCAACTCAAGCTAAGCATTGCATTAGCTTCCTAGAGACTCAAGGAAGCTAACCTGATCATTGCAGCACCTTGAATCAAGCTCAAACTCATTTCACGATTTCCATTTTTGAGGTATTTTTCTTAAACTTCTATCTTCTCATTTAGGCATTGTTAGGCTTACATTTGTGAAGATAAAATGTAGACATCATTGCCCTGAAACTATACATGTCCATAGATTTCATTTATGTTGCTTGAGTAGGGAGAAATTTGAGTTTGAACCTCTGAAAATATTTAGGTCAGAATTTGGTATTGTTAGAAATTCATGCTCATCTTTGGGAATTAGCTTAAGTTATTTACATATTCAGAAGCATGAGGAAATTTCTAACAAGTTTAATGTTGGAAGTTTTGTGAATGGATGAAAAATGAATGAGTTACAGGTTCTCTGGCTGGAGGTTGAAGATGAAGTTCATTCAGGACTTGATTTATGTTACATATTTATTGTTTTGTTTATATCAATGGATGTATAGCCACCCCAGTGGTAAAGTGCGCGCCTGTTAACCTTTGAGACCTGGGTTCGAGTCCCAGTGGTACCCTTTTGCTCTTTTCCACATTTTTTTCCATTTTTTTGTTTGAAACAGGCGCTGGGCCTCCAACAATTGGGCTTTCCATTTTTTTTATTTTGCTAACCCCTGTTTACTTTTGCATACCTGACCCATCTATTTTCTTTTATCATTTTATTTTTTATTTTATTTCAGTTTCTTTTATTATTTTTATTACTATTATTATTATTATTATTATTATTATTATTATTATTATTATTATTATTATTATTATTTTTATTACTAAAAATATAAATATATTTTTATTTACACTTATACATTTTAATTTTTCTTTATAAAACAAAAGACCAAAAAATATTTTCTTTTAATAAATTAATTTCTTTTTTCTTAAATATTTAGTATTTAGGTTTATGTTTAATTATTATTTTATTTTCTTAATTAAAATTAACTTAAAATTTAGGTTTCTCTTAATTAATTAATTTTCTCATTTTATTTTTATTAATTTAAAATATTTTCATAAAAAACCCTAAGAATCCTTTTTAAGTTAATTTCTTTTGTTAATTAGTTTAAGTTAATTTTATTTAATTTTAATTAATCATTTTATTTAATTAGGTCAAGACAAAACCCTTCATAAAAACCATACAAAATCATTTCTTTTTTCCATTTGCATTTGTACATTATTTATTCAATTCTTCTACAATATTCAATATGGTTGTAATAGTTAATTAGATTTAATTTTCTTGCAAAATCGCCATTTGTAAATTTGTACACCCCATCTCCTAATGATGTAATAGCTTAGTATTTTTACTTTCCGCAATTTATTGCTTTATATAAATAC